AATATAAATGTAATATAAATATAATATAAATATAATATAAATATAATACAAATGTAATATAAATGTAATATAAATATAATATAAATATAATATAAATTAACTAAATAAATAAACTATAANTATGATATAAATATAATGTAAATTTAATATAAATTTAATATAAATTTAATATAAATATAATATAAATATGATATAGATATTATGTAAATTTAATGTAAATTTAATATAAATATAATATAAATATAATATAAATATAATACAAATGTAATATAAATGTAATATAAATATAATATAAATATAATATAAATATAATACAAATGTAATATAAATGTAATATAAATATAATATAAATATAATATAAATATAATACAAATGTAATATAAATGTAATATAAATATAATATAAATATAATATAAATTAACTAAATAAATAAACTATAAAAACGAGCCGCTAGGCTGCGAAAAATCGCGATGAAGAGAGCAAAATGTTTTCCGTGGTGTGCGAGAAGAACGATGAAATCTGCCGTTGCTATTTTGGAGTCACACGTAATATCGCTGGTATCAGAGAATTCTGTGACGGAAGATAGCGTTCCGAGTGGCGCGTTACAGAAATAGATAAGCGAATTTTGAATTTTCGATTCAAGCCAAGGTAGCAGCCGCGATCGCCGAGGCCGAAAAGCAAATAGTTAGTTCGCCGTGCATACGATTGATCGGGGACTTATCGATTATTCGGTTCCGGGGCGGTGGTGCGAGTGGGTCGCGCGGGGGGGTTAATCGTGGAGGGGGCAGGTCAAAGCGATTTCACGAAAATTCGTTTCCGCGTTCTACCGGTCGAAGGTCGCGCAAGTTCGCGCTCCGTGAATGCACATCTTTTATAGAGATAGTGTGTCGGTTGGCTGGCTCCGCCCTGAATCGATCAGCGCGCCGCTATCAATTACACGGGCTATTTGAACAATTTTTTCTGATAAAGCGACACCTGGCCTCCACCCTTCCTCTCCCGTTGTTGCCCGCGGACCGGAGGGGTTTGCCACGTAGGCTGCCACGGAGACGGCTACTCAAAAATAAAAGCCAATCGAAGTCCCTTGATCGTATCTCGGGCTGATAACGGGACAATGTGGAATCGTGCAACACCGATATCATCGGGAACACGTAATGCGATTTAAAAGGAAAAAATGGGAATCGAATCAATAACACCCTTTATCTGGTCCGAGGTGGTCAGCAAGTGCTGAAGCGGGTACAAAGACCAATCTCGAGAGCAAACTCGCCCAAGGCCGTCGCCAGGTGCGAACGCGCAATTGTTCTTGCCCGCCTAGATCCGAAAACTGACGGAGCCTTGGTGAATCTCGGTTTGCTTGGAAATGGAAATACACTCTCTCTCTCTCTCTCTCTCTCTCTCTCTCTCTCTCTCTCTCTCTCCCCCTCTCTCCCGCTCCCCTTTTCATTCTCGCTCTGTATCTCTCTCTCTCTTTCTCTCTCTCTCTCTCTCTTTCTCTCTCTTTCATTCTCATTCTATATATATATATATATATATATCGTGTGTGTGTTCTCTCGTTTCTCTAACTCTCTCTCTCTCCCTCTACCTCTTTCATTCTCTCTTTCTTTCTTTTATTCTCTCTCTCTTTCTCTCTCACATCTCACTCTTTCTTTCTCGTCTCTCTCTCTCTCTTCCTCTCTCACGTCTCACTCTCTCTTTCTCTCTCACGTCTCACTCTCTCTTTCTTGTCTCTCTCTTTCTCTCTCACGTCTCACTCTCTCTTCCTCGTCTCTCTCTCTCTCTCTCTCTCTCTCTCTCACGTCTCATTCTCTCTTTCTCTCCCGCTCTCTTGTAAAGCAAAGGGATCTTTTGGTCGCGATATATGTAGGTGCTATGGGTCGATCAATATTGCATGCAACGGGCCAAAGACTCTCGATAATTACTCTCTCTTGCTAAAATATGATCGGAGACTTAGGGCGAGATAAAAGTTTCAGTCTCCCAACGTCGTTGGAGTCTTTCTCGCTAGAAAACCGGGTCCGTTTCATCGTCTTCGTTTCACTGATTAACTCTCGCGCGGCGATGACCGGGTCTGCGGTGATCCGTTCGCAAGGAACATCTACCTACGTGCAAGGAAAAAACCAGGATGAATTACTTGTTATAATTGAAAAGAATAAATTTATTATTTTATTCCCTACCGTCTTTTATTCGTATATTACTTTGTTAGAAATAGTAGAGCATAGATATAGATAAATATTATATTATATATATAAGTTTTCGAATATGCACGTCACTGTATATTTTCGTAAGTACATGTACCTGTAATAAAATATTATATTCGGAAAAGCTGAATTTTCCTAGGATGTCTGTAACGCGAAAGAGTTGAAACGCGATGCACCGTGATAAATTTTTTCTGTGGTTTCAGTTTCATTCATTTAATTACTCCGATTTTGCGTGAATTCCCGGAGTGTAATTGATGAAACAAATGTGTTCAGAGTGAATGTGTGTGTGTATGTTGTGCGATGCCTGTTGTAATTTGCCATTTCGAAAATATAATATTTGTAATACCTTAGTTATTCTTCTCTGCTTGTCGCTCTTCTCGAACCACTTTCGTGGAGATCATCACGATCGAAATGGTATTCAGCATTTCTCAACTTTTCCTGTCAATTTTATGATCATCATCTCAAGAAAGTGGAACTGAATGGATCCTCGTGCACAGCGTCGAAGAAACGATGAAAGAGAAACGCCACCGATGATCATTTCTTTGCTAAGAGCATTGGAAGCGTTAAAAAATTAATGAAGGTAGAATGGCACCAGTGGTATAGGCAGTTGTTCCGCTCCGAAATTCTTTAGAACCGAGCTAGAATGGGTACTTCGGCATCGTAGATCAGTGGACTGTGGATTTTGTGCATTTATGACAAAAACGAGTAGGCGAAAACCGAGAGAGTATCGCTATTAAAAGAAATTTAACAATTTGATTACGTTGTTTGGGACGTATTAAAATTACGCAAGCCAAGAATAAATATCCATTTGGTTCCCCTGCTTCCTGCAATCGATGCAGGCAATTGTTATTCTGCATAAAGATCCGCAATCTACTTACGAGTTATTTATTCAACGTATGCGTTACTCGGCAATAACGAGTGCAATAATGCTCGTTGAAAATCGGAATAAATGTATCATCGTTACTTTTATAAATCGATATAAAACAGTTGCTTTCAGTGCTCCGTAAATCTAGTGTCGACCCTTTGCACTCGAAGCCATTGTAAATCTACAATAATTTTTCTGGACTTGTAGTATTTCCATTTTGTATGACAAAGTGCATTATATCCGTGCGAAATTGAGTCTTGCGACTCGTACGACAGTGACACTTTCAACAATTTTATAATATAAAATAATAATAATAATAATACGATAATAATACACAGTTATAATATATAATATAATATAATATAATATAATATAAAATATAATATAAAAATTATACTAGAACGTGATACATAATATAATAATAATAATAATAATAATAATAATACAATAATAATAACAATAATAACAACAGTAATAAACAGTAATAATATATAATATAATATAATATAAAAATTACATTAGAATGTGATATACAATATAATAATAATACGATAATAATAACAATAATAAACAGTAATAATAATAGATAATATAATATAATATAAAATATAATATAAAAATTATATTGGAACGTGATACAACAATTTTTTCTTTTCGTGCTGCACCGCCCGAGTGCAAATGCTTAACAAATGAGAAATGGCACCACGAATGGTTCAACGACTGTACCGTTCCGAAATCCTTTCGACCCGACCTAGAAAGAGTACTCGGCGTCGTGGATCAGCAATGGACGACGATTACACGAAATTTTCGTGCTCGTCGAGTGTTCGGCGAAAGGGTCGGCGAAATAATGAAAGAGAAAAAAAACGGCACCGGTTTTCGAAGCAAGCGTTCAAAGCTCGCGAACCCTTCACGCTAGAGCTAGGCTAGGCGACTTCGGATTCGATCCACGTCCCTCCGGGATCGAGAGGGCCCTTCCTGCCCCCCGCGCCCCTCCCCCCACCCCGCAGCCA